CATCGTTTGCAAGTTAAAGCACCGTTCGATTTTCATTGGTTCGTTAGATATGAGTTTGGAACATTTTACTAGCCGAAAAACGGCTGTTTTCAATCTGAACATGCATCCAATTTGTACGCGTGCTGGATTTCATATTGGCCCTCAAACGGGTCGAAAAAACGTCCGTTTCTAAAATGGGCCGTTTTTCGCATCAAAGTGGCCGCGGCCAGATTTGCCATCACTTGCATGTTGACAACAACGCCACTGAATGCTTGTTCCACCACTGTGTATCGTCTGCACCGGCAATCTGCTTTCAAACGGAGCGGCTCTCAGAAACAAAACCATGGAAATTTGCGGCCATCAAGAATGCTATATGTTTCCAGCAACGCACTAATGTTTTGCTATATATCATTCGACGCGCAATCGCACGGCGAACACGATGGTATAACTTAAAACATTAACGCACGTATAGTTTGCAAGTTATTTCCAAAAAACTCTCTCAAACGGCGCTCGATGCTGATTTTGCATTTGCTGCACAAGCTGTTTGCCTGCACAGAAACACTTGCCATTGCACTTACACACGTTTTGGACCATGCCCTTTCATTCAGAAATGAAAAAATCGCGTTTCGAAAATTTTCATTTTTTTCGACAAAATGGCCCCCCCCAAAATTTTCGGTCGGCACCCGGTGAGCAAAAATGTTGTCAACAAGTGGCAACATCGGCATACATCGTTTGCAAGTTAAAGCACCGTTCGATTTTCATTGGTTCGTTAGATATGAGCTTGGAACATTTTACTAGCCGAAAAACGGCTGTTTTCAATCTGAACATGCATCCAATTTGTACGCGTGCTGGATTTCATATTGGCCCTCAAATGGGTCGAAAAAACGTCCGTTTCTAAAATGGGCCGTTTTTCGCATCAAAGTGGCCGCGGCCAGATTTGCCATCACTTGCATGTGGACAACAACGCCACTGAATGCTTGTTCCACCACTGTGTATCGTCTGCACCGGCAATCTGCTTTCAAACGGAGCGGCTCTCAGAAACAAAACCATGGAAATTTGCGGCCATCCCGAATGCTATATGTTTCCAGCAACGCACTAATGTTTTGCTATATATCATTCGACGCGCAATCGCACGGCGAACACGATGGTATAACTTAAAACATTAACGCACGTATAGTTTGCAAGTTATTTCCAAAAAACTCTCTCAAACGGCGCTCGATGCTGATTTTGCAATTTGCTGCACAAGCTGTTTGCCTGCACAGAAACACTTGCCATTGCACTTACACACGTTTTGGACCATGCCCTTTCATTAGAAATGAAAAAATCGCGTTTGGAAAATTTTCATTTTTTTCGACAAAATGGCCCCCCCCCAAAATTTTCGGTCGGCACCCGGTGAGCAAAAATGTTGTCAACAAGTGGAAACATCGGCTTACATCGTTTGCAAGTTAAAGCACCGTTCGATTTTCATTGGTTCGTTAGATATGAGCTTGGAACATTTTACTAGCCGAAAAACGGCTGTTTTCAATCTGAACATGCATCCAATTTGTACGCGTGCTGGATTTCATATTGGCCCTCAAATGGGTCGAAAAAACGTCCGTTTCTAAAATGGGCCGTTTTTCGCATCAAAGTGGCCGCGGCCAGCATTTGCCATCACTTGCATGTGGACAACAACGCCACTGAATGCTTGTTCCACCACTGTGTATCGTCTGCACCGGCAATCTGCTTTCAAACGGAGCGGCTCTCAGAAACAAAACCATGGAAATTTGCGCCCATCCCAGAAGCTATATGTTTCCAGCAACGCACTAATGTTTTGCTATATATCATTCGACGCGCAATCGCACGGCGAACACGATGGTATAACTTAAAACATTAACGCACGTATAGTTTGCAAGTTATTTCCAAAAAACTCTCTCAAACGGCGCTCGATGCTGATTTTGCATTTGCTGCACAAGCTGTTTGCCTGCACAGAAACACTTGCCATTGCACTTACACACGTTTTGGACCATGCCCTTTCATTTAGAAATGAAAAAATCGCGTTTCGAAAAATTTTCATTTTTTTCGACAAAATGGCCCCCCCCAAAATTTTCGGTCGGCACCCGGTGAGCAAAAATGTTGTCAACAAGTGGCAACATCGGCTTACATCGTTTGCAAGTTAAAGCACCGTTCGATTTTCATTGGTTCGTTAGATATGAGCTTGGAACATTTTACTAGCCGAAAAACGGCTGTTTTCAATCTGAACATGCATCCAATTTGTACGCGTGCTGGATTTCATATTGGCCCTCAAATGGGTCGAAAAAAACGTCCGTTTCTAAATGGGCCGTTTTTCGCATCAAAGTGGCCGCGGCCACATTTGCCATCACTTGCATGTGGACAACAACGCCACTGAATGCTTGTTCCACCACTGTGTATCGTCTGCACCGGCAATCTGCTTTCAAACGGAGCGGCTCTCAGAAACAAAACCATGGAAATTTGCGGCCATCCAGAATGCTATATGTTTCCAGCAACGCACTAATGTTTTGCTATATATCATTCGACGCGCAATCGCACGGCGAACACGATGGTATAACTTAAAACATTAACGCACGTATAGTTTGCAAGTTATTTCCAAAAAACTCTCTCAAACGGCGCTCGATGCTGATTTTGCATTTGCTGCACAAGCTGTTTGCCTGCACAGAAACACTTGCCATTGCACTTACACACTATTTGGACCATGCCCTTGCATATAGAATTCAAAAAATCACGTTTGGAAAAATTTCATTTTTTTTCGACCAAATGGCCCCCCCAAAATTTCGGTCGGCATCCGGTAAGGAAAAAATGTTGTCAATAAGTGGTAACATCGGCTTACATCGTTTGCAAGTTAAAGCACCGTTCGATTTTCATTGGTTCGTTAGATATGAGCTTGGAACATTTTACTAGCCGAAAAACGGCTGTTTTCAATCTGAACATGCATCCAATTTGTACGCGTGCATGGATTTCATATTGGCCCTGCAAATGGGTCGAAAAAACGTCCGTTTCTAAAATGGGCCGTTTTTCGCATCAAAGTGGCCGCGGCCACATTTGCCATCACTTGCATGTGGACAACAACGCCACTGAATGCTTGTTCCACCACTGTGTATCGTCTGCACCGGCAATCTGCTTTCAAACGGAGCGGCTCTCAGAAACAAAACCATGGAAATTTGCGGCCATCCCAAATGCTATATGTTTCCAGCAACGCACTAATGTTTTTGCTATATATCATTCGACGCG